TCACAGATTAATATTAATTCACATGTGTAGTTCTAAGAAAATGTAAAATCTCAACTAAAAATTTGGAAAATACATGATTAAAAAAACCCTAGTTCATTCACAGTAATTTATTGTTGCAATTCCAATTGGTTTGCCAATATAACTCCTTGACCATACTTTGCTATCTTCGCTTCAATATGAAAATCTTAACCAAACAACTCTTCTATTGAAATCATGTCATTACCAAAACCTAATTCGTCGTCTACGTGACCACCTTGCATTAGATCACCCCCGCATACAACTTCATTGTTATCTCCTTGACCATACTTTGCTAACTCCGCATCAATATCAAAATCTGAACCAAACAACTCTTCTATTGAAATCATGTCATTACCAAAACCTAATTCGTCGTCTACGGGACCTTCTTGCTTTAGATCACCCCCGCATACAAGTTCATTATTATCTCCTTGACCATACTTTGCTAACTCCGCTTCAAGATCAAAATCTGAACCAAACAACTCTTGTATTGAAAACACTTTATCGCCAAAACCTAATTGGTCATCTACGTGGCCTTGTTGCATTTGATCACCGCCGCATACAACTTGATTATTATGTACTTGACCAGACCACTTTGCAAACTCCGGTGCAAGATCAAAGTCAGAACCACACAAATAATCCTGTATTGATAACACGTCATCGCCACAACCTAAATGCTCATTATCTACGAAACCTGCTTGTTGCATTTGATCACTGCCGCCTTCTTGTACATGATTATCTTGTTCATCATGTTGTGGAAGCACCACATCATTATTATTAGTTGTACTGCTATCAACGGGAACACCTTGTTGGTTAAAGATTTCGGCATAAGAAAGTCCTTGTTCATTCACCGGCGGTACCAAGTTTATGTGTTGCCTTTTGTTTTCTTGAACAACATTATCGTTGTTAGTAGTATTACCAACACTATCACGTAGTCTTTTACGTCTGATTGTGGAGGGTTTCTTGGTGATCCGACAAAGAACGTAGTTATTGACATTATTAATGTTCTCCTCCAAAACATTACTCGTAAACTCATGCATACTCCATTCAAATTCAACTCCGTTGTTGGTCGACTCCATGAACTTCAACAGGTTTCGAAGTCCAATGACTTCCTCTTCGCCAGTACAGGTATTCTTGGCAACAACCGGATCACTTCTTTGAAGTTTCCAAGTACCAAATCTACCCGCCGTTCGTATTCTATTCTTAACACGATTACAATCTCTGTCACCAGACGACACATTCTTGGGGATAGTAAAGAAATACCGGACTGTGCCCTCTTCTTCACGGTCAGACTTAGTGATCTTCTCCAAAGATAATGGTTAATCAGCTCATCGTCTTTGGGATTGAAACGATAATCGGGTGGTAGTTTAGACATGTTCATTCACTAATCAAGGATTAATAATCTTCTTACTCTTAATTAGAGAACATGTAAAACAAAGAGAAAGAATAGGGATTGCTACGTAGAATTGTATTTTATGAATTATGATGAGAGTTAATTAAGACATTTGAATAGTTTATATAATAGGAGGGAGTCGGCTAATACGTACTATAACTAACTTATCCTTTATTTATTTATTTTAGGAAATAACTAACCTATATCTTTTCTTTTTTTTTTTTCTTTTTTTTTTTTGAAAAAACCCTTTAAGGGAGCTTAAATAACTAACCTATCTTGATAGATATTTAAGATAAACTTTATATCTTTCTCTATCAACAAAGATAAAATAAAATAAAATAAAAATTACATAATTTTTCATTTTTTTTTTAATTTTTTCATAAAAAAAATCATAAAGCTTATTAAATTACTACATAATATATTTGATATACAAGTATGAGTTTAGGTTGCGCCTTTCACAATGAATCTTGTGTATTACTCAGTATTTTGTAAAACATTATAAATTAAGTAATATGTCACAAGTTTTGTAAATATAGTGGATCATGTGAACATTAGTAGGCATACAATTACAAGCATTAGTCCATACAAGTTTAGAAGTGAACCAATTGTATACTAAGGCCCTGTTCTTTTGAGCTTCTGGACAGAGCAGAGCAGATTGAAGCAAAGCAAAGCTAAACTAATCTATCTTTTAGTTTCTAGGATAAAACTTTCTATATTTCTCAACGTAGTAGTTTAACGATTTTTTATCTTTTAGTAAGATAAAAAATTATATTATATTTTACCTAGGAATTTCTAATTTAAATTACCCACTAACAAAAAGGTGCAAAAAAAAAAAATTATTGTGATTAAAAAAAATTAATAAAATATTATTTGCGAATTAACTGATTAAAATGGGGTTTATCATTGCTAAGAGTGATAATTCACTGTTTACTTTCCGACAGGGTGATTATATGGCTTATTTGCTTATTTATATTGATGATATTATATTAGCCACATCTAATGACATGTTGCGAGCCGAAATTATTTCTCAGTTACAAAATGAGTTTCCTATGTCAGATTTGGGGCCTTTGAGCTATTTTTTGGGCATTGCAGTGACTCGTACACCGTCATATACTCATATTTATCTCTGTCTTAGCTGAAATATGCACATGAGATCTTAGAACGTGCAGGTATGGCTTCTTGTAAACCCGCAGCAATTCCTGTCAATACTAAGCCCAAACTTAGTGCAGATTCGGAACCACCATTCCGGGATCCTACTTTATACCGCAGTTTCACATGTGCTCTTCAGTATCTCACTTTCACTAGATGAAAGCCCGTGCGATGCACGATTTTTCATACATATATCTCAGGAAAAGATATTTTCCTATATACTCTAAGTTTTTTTTTCTTTTTTTTTTTTATTATAATTATTGATTTATTTTACAATTTAATAATTTCAGACAAAAAAATAAACAAAAACAAATAATAATTTAATTAAAATGATATTGCCAATTACAAAAGTATAATTTTTTTAATGTAATTTATAATGCGACTTAATTTATTGTTGTTTTGTATTTTATTCGTTGTTATTAGTTATATGACAATAATATGATATCTTTCAAAAAAAGAAAAAAAAAATTTGTAAATATGATATTTCATTGATTACATACACTACTACATTTTCGATCAAATGCAATGCCAAAAAATGAGCTATTGCAACGCCCTATTCAATGCTGTCGCAATAGATAGCCTGTTGCAACGGTAGGATTAACTAATACAATAGTCAATTATATATCATATCTATTGCAACGGTCCCTTATATGGTGTTGTAATAGATTGGGCTAATACAACGGCAACAAGAGCTAACACAACGGCTGCTAAATTTTTAATATTTTTTTCTTTCCCTCCGTATTTTATACCCAAAATTTTGAAATTCTAAATTAAAGAGTCGAAATATTTTAACCCCCGCGGTTTCCTTATCTCCAAATTAAAAAAACCCCAAATTCCCCTTCTTCAATTCATATAGTTAGGGATTCCTCCCTCTGGTCCAATGAAGCAGTAATCTAAATCCTTTCCATTCAAGTTGTATTTTGAATTCTCCATTGAAGCTGTACATTAAGCTCTTCCCTGAAACGGCTTTTGAGCCTTTTGTTCTCCATTGAATCAGCTTATCGGGTACACTGTTTTTTTTTTTCCTTTTAAATCATCACCGACTATCGATTTTATAATCTAGGGTTTGCCTCTTGGCTTTTGTTTTATTTCATATTTTTTATTTTAGGTAATTGATTTGTAAAAAAGGATTTGTAATTGATTTGTAATCGTCATCGACTATCGTATTATAGGGTTTATGGAGGTGATGGTGGTGGTGACGGTGGTCGCGGTATCCATTACGACGCTTCGATTTCTAGGATTTTAGATTATAGCTAGGAAGAGATTTAAGACTACCGCTCCTCTCCTCACTGCCACATGCACGATATTCTTTCCATCTTCTCTCTTTAAGCTAAAAATTAATGAAGTGTTTGTCAATGTCCAAGGAAGATTTCAGCTTGATTTTGCAATTCCGATCCCTTGGAATTTGATTTTGCGAAGCTTTGGAAATAGTTTGATATTGTGTTATTGGTTTTAGCTCTTAAATTAGTTGTTGCTACACCTCTATACTTGTACTTATTGCTGTTTTCTCTGTTCTGTAAATTCATATGATCTGGTATCTTTTTGCTCTACAGTTGTAGTATTAGATCTTGTGCTGCCATTTAACTGTCTCTGATTAAACTAATCAATGCATTGCTAAGGAGGGTGGTGAATCAACTATATGAACTTCTATTTTCTGTTCATTTTGTTTGAAGCTTGTCAGATTGGCTTTTATCTTTTCTACATAACTGCATTATGTCTGAATTCCTTTTATATTCATTCTCATATTTTCTATTATGTTGTTTGCAAGTCTCCATCTCTGGAACCAGACCAGGCAACGCTGGGTAGATAATAAAAATCAAAGTAATAGATTATGGGGATGAATAGAACACTGACAATTTTCTTTTTTATTGATAAAAGCAAACCTTGACTATTATATTAAATGAAGAGGATAAGCAGATACTTCTCTTGTAGGCATTGACTATTATATTTATTGCTTCATACTTGATGCAGGAAATCATTGTCACAATTGTACTTGTGCCAACTCAACAAGTATTTGAAACAGGTGAAGTTTCAATGTTCAGTTTCATCTCTTACTATTTATGCTTTCTGCTTGGAAATTGCTATCACGTTACACCCATGCCTCATATCTAAGGATTCATCATGGCTATACCTAAATACCTGTTGTAAACTTGTTATATCAGTTTCTGAAAATTAATTAGGGTAATGGCAGGTTCCTTGCCTTGTTATCTAATCTAATTTTCACTAATGGAAGAGTACTTTCACTTTTCCCTAAGGATAACTGTATTTTGGAGGAGTAATTTCACTTTTTAATCCTAACTTGTCTAAATCAGTTAAGGAGGAGTCCTTGCTCCTTATTGTCCTTAGAGTTAGAACCATACTCCCTCCGTCTCTTTATTAGAAGCCTATTTCTAATATTTATTACCCACATAATAAAGAGAAATAGGCTTCTAATTTAGGGATGGAAGGATTACTACCTTAGTGAGAATATAATACTTTTACTGTTTTTAAATTATTGCAATACATGAAGTTTCACCTATACCAATGCACTATTTTACTTATTAATAGATGAAAATTATAAAAAAAGGTGATATTATGACATTATACATTAAAATGATTCTATATATACCTTGCTTGACTATAATTAAAAACTCGTTGCAATTGTGAAAGAAAAGAGAAAATATATACTAATTTGATTATAAAAAAAAAGAAAAAAAGAAAAGAAAATTATGCTGCTGGGCTGCTACTGCTCTAGCTGCTGCCTCTGCATGTTCTCCTCTTATAGCAAGGCTTAGCTTATTTAAATCCACAAACACACACAAATTAGGAATTAGGAATATAGTAAGGCTTAGGCTTATGTAAATCCTGTTATTCTTGCAAAGGTATATACAAGTAATAATTTTTTTAGTAACTAAGTACTCTCCTCTAGAGTCCAGACCCAAGGGTGAGTCGGTGAGAGAATGGATAAGGAGAATGGGGCTGAAGAGGCGACAACCTCCAATTCTGGTGCTGGTGAGCAAAATCAACACAATGAGAACCAAAAGAATAATGCTAGAGTTCCATTCTATAAGATTTTCTCATTTGTGGATTCTATTGACAAGGCGTTGATGATCATTGGCTCAATTGGTGCTGTCGCAAATGGTGTATGTATGCCCTTGATGGCCATCATCATTGGTGAATTGGTTGATTCATTTGGTGAGAATCAAAATACCAAAAAAATCATTCATGTCATCTCCAAGGTTAATTGCTCTCCCATGTCTAATATTGCTTAAGATAGTTAATGTATATAGTACTCCCTTTGTTGTTTGCTCCATTCCTGCAATATCTCTAAAGATTCTCAACTTAGTCACTGCTGGCTTCTTGCAGGTGTCTCTAAAATTTGTTTACTTGGCCATAGGAGTTGCAATTGCTGCATTTCTTCATAAGCACTCTAAATCCCTTATCTTTTGTTCTAATTTAATTGAGTAGATATACTCAAAAAGCTTCATTTGTTAAAAACAGTCCATAATTGAAGATGCATACGAAGAATAATATTTTTATTGCACTCGCAGAGGTGGCTTTCTGGATGGTAACATGAGAAAGATAGGCAACAAGATTAAGGAAGTTGTACCTGAAAGCAATACCTAGACAAGATATTGCTTTCTTTGATAAGGAAACCAACATAGGAGAGGTCATTGGGAGAATGTCAGGGGATACAGTTCTCATACAAGATGCTATGGGGGAAAAGGTAACTCATTATCGACACTCTTAATATTTCTTAGTCTTGATCATCTTGGTTTTTTTTTTTTTTTTTTTTTTTTTTTTTTTTTTTTTTTTATATATATATATATATATATATATATATATATATATATAAGTACTCTTCCATGTTGGAAAATTTCTACAAATGATATCGACTTTTATTGGAGGCTTTATCATTGCGTTCATCAAAGGGTGGATTCTTACTCTTATCATGCTATCCTCCATACCTCTTTTGGCAACATCATTTCTTAGATCGATTTCGTGGAGTCCCCCCTCTAAGCTCGTTAAACGGGCTAATTTTGCCATTGGTAATTGTTTCTATGAAACCCTAACTCAGTTCATTTCATGTCAATTTTTTTTTTTTTTTTTAGAATCTTGTTTAGGTGGTGGAAGAATTAATCATGCTTGTATACCAGTAACATAGGTTACTGGCGGGATGGATAATTGTTGGTGAATGTGTGTGGTTGTTGTTGTTGAAACAACATGTGTGTTATGCTGTTTAGGCTATAGTGTGGTTAGTTGTTGTTGTTGTTGACCCAACATGTTGTGGTTGTTGATACGTGTGGTTAGTTGTTGTTGTTGTTTAGTTGAAACTCTATGCCTACTTGAGAGGATTTTGCCACATCTTCTTGTTGACCAAAACGGGCAATCTTCTAAATCTGGTGCCACAATTAATCAGGTAACATTATATATATTGTGAAGATATTGCATTCTTTAAAGTCTGTAAAATAGGGGAAATTGATGTGAAAGGGAGGGGGGCTGTTTTTACTCGTTCAATGGATAGCTGGGTGCCCTGGTTTATTGTTTTTTAGATTTGTTTGGTGTGTGCCCTCCATATTTGGCTTATGGTTGATTCCGGTTGCCGCTTCTGGTTTGGTTTCAGTGTTTGATCTGATAATGGCAGATCAGTAGCTCTGGTTCAGGGTTCTACCTGTTGTGTTTTTGTTTGGTTTTGTGTTGGCTGCTGCCTGTATTGCCTGTTTAGGGCTTAGTTATAACCAAGTTTTGTCTCTGGTGTGGGTAGGATATTAAGGTTTAGATTATAATCTCCATAATATACCCATTCACTATAAATGATAATCTTATGAAAATTGAATCTTGAAGAAGCTGATATAAATTATATAATATAATCAGCATAAATATAAAAAGTAGATTATGAATGAAGTAAGATATAATAAAAAAAATTATGAGCATATGAAGTACTACGTATGAAGCAGAAGAAAAAAAATAGTGCAGCTTTATTTACTAAGGTCGCTCTGCTTCATAATTGGTAAAATTGGAAGATTGCAATTAGATGAAAGAAAATTGAAAGTAGTAGTGTGCTCACAGAATATTTAAGTGCAATTCTTTGGACATATCTTGAAGAAAAATAATATTATTTAACTTGGAAACAATGACAAGATATATAAACAATAAAAAACAATCTCAGATCAATGTCAAAATGTGACTTCTTTAAGCTTTTGTGCTGCTGCAATGTTGGGATGTTTATGTTGGTTGTTATGTTGCTTATGATAACTATAGGACATCTAGTGCTCTAAATTTGTCTTTATTTTGATCCAAACACCCAATTTTGTTGTTAAAAATGGTTACAGGGAGAGCATACTTAGTTGTTGTTCTTCTGAATATTGCATTCTTGAAAGTCTGTAAAATAGGGGAAATTGATGTGAAAGGGAGGGGGTTGTTTTTACTCGTTGTATGGATAGTTGGTTGCCCTGGTTTATTGTTTTTAAAATGTGTTTGGTGTGTCCCCTCCTTATTTGGCTTATGGTTGTTGCTAGTTGCCGCTTCTAGTTTGGTTTCAGTGTTGGATCTGATAATGGCAGATCAGCAGCTCTGGTTCAGGGTTCCGCTGTGTTGCGGCCTGCGGTCTAACATGAGTATTATTGTATAGCTGATTTCTCCGTGTGTTTTGAACTTTTCTCATGTTGATTGTGGCCTTGATCTATTATAATTTATAATTTAGTTCTATTATATTTCTATTATTTTATTCTATTTTACGTGTAGGTGCATGGGGAGCTAAATGGAGCTGAAGTATAGTGAGCTGAAATATAGCTAGTCATCTAACAAATGGTGCATAGGTTGGCGACTCTTATTCAAGTTCAACTTTGTGAAGATTTGGAAATTCCGGCTTATATATATGTTGAAAATTTAATTTGTATTTTGGAGGATTAAATTAATTATATAACTTTTATTTATTATTAGTAGGGTGTATAAAAAACAAGCAACTAATATTTTATAATGTACGTATTTAGCATCATAATTATTATATATAAATTTAATGATATTTTGTTTCTTCGCATATTTAGATTTGTATTGACTATTTATACATATATTATATATATATTATCGTTCCATTCAAAAAAAAAAAGATCAAATGATCAATCCGTTGCAGTAGATACGTACTCCATATATGATTTGTATTAATTAGCTTCATCCGTTGCAATAGGTGTCAATTTCATCATAATTAGTAGTGCGTAATCTATTGCAACGGATAATTTATGTCGTGGCATCAGGTGTAGAGCTAACGCAACGGCTTATAACTGTCGTGGTATTAGGTGTTGTATACCGTTGCAATAGACCTATTGCAACGCCAGCAAATGCCACGGTACATAATGGCTGTTACATTAGGCCTAATGCCACGGAATTTGACGCCTAATGCAACGGATTTGGGGGTTGCAATAGGTCAAAAATGTAGTAGTGATATTAGAATAAAATCTTAAATGTGAAAAGATAATAATTTTTATTTTTAAAATAATTTAAATCCTAAATCATTATTCGTTGCTTTTTACACTTGAAATTAAACTCTCAAATCTATATAAAAGTATCATTTTGTATATTTCTTGTGATCTTCTTTGATCTCTAACAAATTATCTGTCTTTTAAATTTTTTAGACATAAAATGTTTAAAGAAGGTAAAGTTTTTTTTATTGCGTTATAAGTTTTAAATTTTTTTTATGAAAAAAACATCTTATTAATCGGGTATTTAGATAAAACCATTAATTTCATAAGATAATTTTTATTTTTTTTAATAATTTAAATCCTAATATCCCATGATTTTTTATACATAAAATCTCATAAAAATAATTTTTGTAATTAGAATCAAACTCATAATATTTTTAATTACTTTGCTATTGTTTGTTAAGGATAATTTTTTAGTAATTTTATGTAATTTATTCCCCTAATAAATATTTTGATAAGAACATTAAAAATAATAGTTATTAGATGTAATATTTCGATGTAAAAAAAATTTTATTAAAAAAAAAATTTCGACAGGATCACCAACTTTGTTCACCGCCATATCTCTTCCATCTGATAAAAGTGGATAAATTAAACATGTAAGAAAAAATAAAATTTATATAAAATTAATCTTTATAGTCTTATACAATAAATTAAATTATTTACCAGAAAGTGAATAATTGCTGTGAAATTAATCTAAAAATTGTAATTATACAAAATGAAATCTATGCATTGGAATTTTTTTATCGTCCCCAATCGCCCAAACAGTAGTATTTTAGAAAATTGAATCATTATTTTATTGTCGTTGACAATATTGCTTCTTATTTGTAACGACTGAAAAGTATCTAATGAAGTAAACTTTTCCTTCAATCAATTTTGAACAAAAATGTAGAACAAAGTTGACTTTAATTGAGGCATGAACGCAATTACCCTGTAATTAAAAATAAAAAATTAAGTTAATTTTATGACTTAATTAAGCTACCTAAATCACAAAAAATTTGGTTTAATCATAAATTAATTGATAAAAATTAAAAGGTTCATTAAAAGATTTAATAAATGTAAACGATTTATAAAGATATAATACCTCCTCATCCAATAGGATCATCAGGTGAGAAACTCGTACTTTGATATTCCAAAGATTTAGGATTTAGGATTTAAATATTAAAATTTTTCATTTCACATTAAAGATTTTATATAACGGAAAAAATATCATATTTACAATTTATTTATATTTAATAAATTCATTATAAATTATAGTAAAAATAAATAAATATTAAACTTTTGTAATTTTGTCTGAAATTATTAAATACAATAAATCAAATAATTAAAAATCTTAGATGAAAAAACCGTGCATCGCACGGGCTTCCATCTAGTAACTAGATATATCAGTAAATTTATAAAATAAGATTCATATTTTATTAAATTCGTTTCAAATTAATCTGCTTTTAGAAATCACATTGAATTTTTATAAACATTATTTTTTTTCTTCTGAAAAATCACTTGTTTTCTTTACTTGACAAAAATGTCTTTCTTTTAAAAAAATCAGTTTTTATTTTTTTTTGACGAAATAGAAAATCTGATTTTATTTTAAAAGATAAAATCTGTTTTTATTTTTATTTTTTTTGCATCAACCTTAGTTTTTTTTTTTGGTGTTTAGAGAGCTATAAGGGCAGTAGTGAGACTAGATCCCAAGATCCCTGGAAGTGTAGTAAGTTTTAGTAATTTATTAAAAAATTAATATCAGAATGTTAATATTAAAATTAGATTTTTTTTTAAAAAAAAATTTAATTTTAATTGTCAAACATACAATGAATTTTAATAAAAAAAATCGTTGTATTAAAATCAGAATTTATTAATAATTTGTATTATAAAAGAACTAATATCTGATTGGTTGTTTAAAAAAAGAAAAGAAATTTTTAATTGATTAACTATGGGTCTAACTTTTTTTAACTAAGGGTCTAACTTTTTTGATACGAATTAATAAATTTGGCCGGAAAATATAACTTAGACCCCAAACACGAAAATTGGACCCCAAACACAATATTCATCAAAAAGTTAGACCCCATATATTATCTTAACTCATGCTTTCCTCATTTCCACTTTTCTCCTCTGCTCTACTCATAAATTCATTCAACTCTTTCTCTCTCAATCTCTCTCCTCCATTGAAGCGTACTCCAAGTTTCCATTGAAGCATACTCGAGTTTTCTCTCCTTCATTAAAGCTGAGGTATGATGTATATTCTTCTTTATAATCATCAATAATTTGATAATATAAGGTTTAATTACAATTATCTTTGATTTAATTGTTCTTAGCTGGATTATTGAACTATTTTTTCAATCTCCATTATCACACCTCCTTGAATTATCATTCTATTGATTAAACATTAGTACTTTGCTATAAATTAGAACATTTGTCGCCATTGATTTCTCAGAATGTGCAATCAATTATTATTTTTAATCCGTTCAGTGCAACTTTAATTTGTAGTTTGGTCTTTTTCATTCTTGAAGATTCTTAATTGTTGTATTTTGTGTGGTGTTGTTGTGATTTTAAGCTCGGTTTCTTGTTTCAGTTCATATGTGCAGGTCAAATTTTGATCAGAAAAAGTTTAAGAACGAGTATATTTCATTAAATGCTTGTTTTTAATACTTAATTATGTTTAAAGATTTCATGGATTAGGATTTGTAGCCCTTTTTGGAATTTAATCAGGGGCTTTGCTTTGATCTATATGGCATTGAATAATATGCTAGAAAACTGTTGGTGGTAAATTATTGGTTAGAGCTCTATTTTAGTGAAACTTTGGGCATTATTATACGGGACAATTTTTAAGAGACGGGGATTATGTAGTTACTCTTTGCCCCGTTTCCCAGATATTGTTCTAGTGATAGCCCCACTAGACCAGTGAAACAAAAAGAAAAAAACCAAATTTGTGGAGCAACTGAATTATTGCTTTAGATGAAAAATGACTGGTCCAGCATGAAAAATTGATCTTACATTATTTCAATAAAGCACTGCCTTATCTCCTTTTGCTACAAGATTTCAACTACATGATTCAATGTTTGCTATAATTTTTCTTTTGAGTGGAATATAGCAGAGCTTGCAAATCAGTACCTTATTTAGACACATCTTTTTTCAGTTAAAAAAAAATGGATATTATTGGAACAGTGCTATCAGCTGCTCAAACTCTGCTTGCATCGCTGCAGTGTTCAGAGCTTCAAGAGATCCTTTCATCCTTTGGCTACAAATCCCAGCTTGATGATCTCCGTCGCATGGTCTCTGCTGTCAATGCTGTGCTTCTTGATGCAGAGGCCAAGCAGGAGCTCTCCCATGAAGCACAGCATCGGCTCGAGGAGCTCAAGGACGCCGTCTTTGAAGCAGATGATCTTTTGGACGAGTTTGTTACCCTTGCTGAGCAGAAGCAACTCTTGGAGGCTGGAGGTAGTCTCTCGAAAAAGGTTTGTCGTGTTAAGAAAATCAGGAAGAAACTGGATGCTATTGCTTACAACACTCAATTTAGCTTTAAGCATGATCCCGAGCCTATTCGGAGGAGAAGGCCCGAGACCTGTTCTTATGTGGATGCAGGTGATATCATTGGAAGACAGGATGGATGACTTGGAGAAGATTGTTGGTATGATGCTCGATTCTAATATGCAACGTGATGTATCTTTTCTCACGATTGTGGGAATAGGGGGGTTGGGCAAAACAGCCCTTGCTCAGCTTGTGCATAATGATCCAAGGGTTACAAGTGCATTTTCGTTGAGGTTGTGGACTTGTGTCTCTGATCAAGATCAGAAGCAACTTGATGTAAAAGAAATTATTTGTAAGATGTTGGCTTTTGGCCAATCACATGAGCACTCCACCTTGGATCAGGTACAGAAACAGCTACACGGTCGACTAGCAGGCAAAAAATACTTGCTTGTTCTAGACGATGTATGGTCTGAGAAGTGTGTCCAGTGGCGTGACCTGGAAAGATTTTTAATCGGAGGTCAAAGAGGAAGCTGGATATTGGTAACAACACGTTCACTAGCGACAGCAAAAATTATAGGAGATGGTCTAACATATGAGCTCCAAGGCTTGTCAGAGGAGAATTCTTGGTGTTTGTTTGAAAGGATGGCTTTTGGATTACAATCGTCTAACCCTGCTGACGACTTGGTCAATATAGGGCAAGAGATTGTTAAAGGATGTTCTCGAGTCCCCCTTGCTATAAGAGTTGTGGGAAGTCTCTTATATGGTCAAGACAAGAGTAAGTGGCTATCACTTGCGCAAATTGGATTAGCCAACCTCAGAGATAGCCAGAATGACATCATGCCTATATTGAAGCTGAGTTATCATAATCTCGAGTCTCCCCTAAAAAGTTGTTTCAGCTATTGTGCGTTATTTCCTAAGGATTATTGGATAGAAAAGGAGATGCTAATAAGCCTTTGGATGGCACAAGGCTATATCGTCCCTTTAGATGAAGGTCAAAGCATTGAAGATGCTGCTGAGGAATATTTTTCAATTTTGTTGCAAAGATGTTTCTTTCAAGACGTACTAAGAGATGTGAAGAATGGTGATATTGTGAGTTTTAAGATACACGATCTCATGCACGATGTTGCTCAAATAGTAACCAAACAGGAGATTTGTGCAACACATAACTTTTGCAGTAACTTGGATAATAAAGTTCGCCATCTGTCTGTGACCAGAAACAAAGTTGAAAGATGTTCGTTATACAAGTCCCATATTCGAACTTTTCTTTTTGTTGGCCAAAGGAGACAAGTTGTTGAAATGGAACAGTTCTGTGCAGAGGCATTATTGGCTAATTGCTTTTGCCTCAGGGCATTGGATTTGAGTCATCTAAGTTTCAAAACATTGCCAGAATCAATAGGTGAACTGTTGCATTTGAGGTATTTAGATCTCTCGTGGAACAGCAGACTAGAAGTGCTTCCGAAGTCAATTACAAAATTAGGTAATCTACAAACCTTAAACTTAAGTCGTTGCCGTCAGTTGAAAGAGCTGCCAAAAGATTTGAGCAGGCTGGTGAAGCTTAGGACCTTGCTTACATCTAATTGTCGCAAGATGACTTGTTTTCCCATGGGGATGGGCAAGTTGAATTGCCTTCACAGGCTGAGTGATTTTATAGTGGGTGGTGAAGGGAGTTACTCAAGTACAAAGCACTGGTTTGATGGACTGGAAGATCTTAAGGCTATGAACAACCTAAACGGTCATCTTGATATCCAGTTTAAGTGGCCTAAAAATGATGTTAAGGTAGATGAGAGCAGAACTGAAGGACATTATCTAAAGAATAAGGGACATCTCAAGAGCCTTAAATTTCTTTTTTGTCATCAGGAGGTAGATGGAGTTGTGGATACTGAGGAAGCAAGAAGATTTATGGAAGAGCTGCAACCACATTCGAATCTGAAGCGGTTAGACGTATCAAGGTACCGTGGTGTGAGAATGCCTGGTTGGGCAACCCTTCTCCCAAATCTTGTACGTATTCATCTCGAGGTTTGCAAGGAGTTGGAGTACCTGCCATGTCTTGGAAGCTTGCGACATCTCAAATCCCTCTGGCTTAATAGTTTGCCTAAGTTGGAGTATATAGAAATTAGTCCATCAGTTTTCAGTTCCACGCCTGGGTCAGAATGTGCTCAAAGAGTATCAATCTTCTCCTCCTTGGAAATCCTTAGGTTGTTGAAATTGCCGAAGTTGAAAGGATGGAGAGGTAATCTTCATCTCCTTGAAGATAACAAAAACATACAATTATGTGTCTTTGGTTTGACAATAATTGATTGCCCAGAGTTGACATGTATTCCATTGTGTCCCAAGCTTGAATATCTATCCCTAAGAAACTTCAATAAAAGACTGAAAATATTACAAACAAAAAGGGATGAAAAAATAGAAGTTCCTCCCTCATCGGTATTCTCTTGTGATCCTGAAAATTCGAGTAAAACTAGTACTATTCTAATTCCTACAATAAGGAGCGTTGTTATAGACAATGTGATGGGTTAAATTGTCTGCCAATGCTGGCTTTCCAGAGCCTTGAAAGCTTATCATTTGAAGGTGTTTGGTGTGAGGTGGAGAGCTTAGAAGATGTAGAGGAGGTGTTTCGTAGCTACTTGTCTTCTCTGCAAACCTTGAAATTTGAAAGATGTGACAAACTAAGGAGTTTTTGTGGAGGATTAGAGCATCTCACTGCCTTAAAGAAGTTAGTGATACGGAACTGTCCAAATGTGAGGCTTTCAGAAGAGACAGAGGATGGCAGGCCATGGCGATCCCTTCATCACTCCCTCCTCGATTTGAGATTTGAGGGTCTACCACAGCTAGTGAGTCTGCCTGATTGGATGCAATCCTTAGCTGCCCTTGAATACCTACGTATTTGTGATTGCATGAGACTCAAATCAATACCGAATTGGATGCCCAAACTCACCTCTGTGAAACAACTTTACCTCTTTGAATGTTCAGAAAGCCTTAAGAGTAGATGTCGAAAAGAACCCCCCGGGGCGGATTGGTCCTACATTAAACACATCCCCATCGTTATAATTCGATAGGATCATTCTACTTATTTCCGCTGCTTCTCTATTATCATTGTTATTCCATAACCAGGTACGCCAACAAGTAAATCAAGGATTTAATGCTACAACTGAAACTCCGTCATTCTTTCTGATAAATTTGGTTTGCAAATTTCTGCAGTTAATAAAATAGCAGATTGGAATCAAATTCTTGATTTTCAGTTTTACTAATACTTTTTTAGTTATTAGGTTATGTCTTTGTCGATTGTCACTGTAGTGGGATGTTCACTATTACTTTGTATTGTGCACTTTGCAGATAGCTAGAGAAATTTAGAAATTTTAAGTGGCAACTGTTGAGGAAGAAAGAGCTTTTGACAAACAAGTGCTGCTACAATACAAGGGCAACAAAGCTAGTTTCAAGGAGAATGTACACATTATATTCTTCTCCTAAATTTGACCAACTTGTTAGTTTCCTAATATACTCCGTAATCAGAACTACTGCTGTGTCACAATAGTTATTGTTACTTATGTAGTCAATATCAACCTGTTTTGTTTTAATTATTTTATCATAGTTTACTTGTATGTTTCTATGCTATTGTTGTGCTATGTTATCTTCCTACATTTAATGTTACTAATTATAAACGATAATTTTTTTTTTTATTTTTTTTGACAAATATAAACGATATTAATCCACATAGTATTATGGGACTACTGGCAGTCTGGCAGCTTTAAAAACTTATCTAGAGTTTGACTCATGAGATAAGTGGTGATCGGAAGATAAGAGGTCTTCAGTTCGCAGCTTCAAAATGCAGAGTTGTAAATTACAGAACCATTTCTAGTATGCAGTCATTCTTTTAAGCTTTACTATTTCCTGCACGCCTTTTTTATTTTAATTTTTTCTTCTGAGATGGAGGTTTCCTTGATAATCTGCTGATGCACATAGTGATTTCAGAGCCTGTACATTTGTAATTCATTTTAATTTAGTGATGATTTCGTTTAATAAAACGTTGTCGGTTTTCAAAATTAAGAGAAACCCCCTTTCTATATTCAAAGGTCAATAAGTTTATGCCTAGATTTGTCTAGTAGTTCTGTACTTCTATGCATCTGCTGTGCATCTATTCAAGCAGACGTGATACACTGAATGACCGCATCTTGTTAATCTGTAGTGTAGGCATAACTGCTGACTTTTATTTCTACTGAATGTATTGTGTATGTCAAAGACTTTTATTATCAATATAATGTAAGATATAGTAGGTTTCCATGTGATCCTTTCAGTAGAAATTGTGGTGAAAGGGTTAGATTTTCTGATACATAGTTTGAAATCTCTGATTAAAGGAGAGATTGTGGAAGAGCTAGTAGCCACGACAAATGAAATAAAACAAGGAACTATTTAAAGTAGAGGCTTCAGGTGTTACTGTTGGGTTCAATGGGGCCGGGTCGGGTCGGGTCGGATTTATTTTAAAACTTGAGTCATGCTAATATTTTTCTATCTTAGATTTATTTAATATTTTTTTGGGTGTTAAGAGAGCCCCAAGGGCGGGGGTGAGAATTGATCCCAAAATCTCCTAAAATCGAGAGAAAAGCTCTAACCACTTGAGTCTTGAATTATCCCTCACTCTCACTTTTATTTAATATTAAATTAAAATGATTGTAGCTTATTGATATGTTTACATTTAGAACACAAAAATTAATTTACTACTTCCTCCATTTCCTTATAATTGCAACATTTCCCTAAAATGGAAATATCATAATAGTTGCAACACACTACAAAAGGAAGGTTTTTATGGTGAAAATTGTACTTTATTTTTATTTAAAGCAATGACCTACTTGATTATGCTCCTAACAACCTTTTAACCCCATTTTAAGTGTATTATGTCATGTGAGGTCCACTTTTCTTAAATACCGTGATAAAGTGTGCGTTGCAACTATAAAAAAAAAACAAAGGGAGCATAATCTAGTGCTAATGTAGCCTATTGTGCAGATTTTATGTGCAACAGTAATAGTAAAGGGCATATTGCATATGTAGAGGTAGAGCCGTAGAGGTTATAGTTCACTCAGGTTCTGAGCATGTGCAAGGTGGCCGATCGCACAGGCCCCCTAAGTGAAACTACTATAAAAAGGCCCCGATTTTTGAATTTAGTAACATATTTTTCCTAAAAAAAAACAAATTTAGGGCCCAATTTAACAAAATTGCACCGAGCCACTTTCAGTGTTAGCATTTATAGCCCCGCCTCTGAGTTCACTATCGTCATTTTTGTTGAACTGCTATAGTACTAAACATTGAATTGTTCAATATTACGTTCTACAGTTCAGATATGATTTATATGAATTATTGTTTCGTACATGCGGGTACACCCGAAAGAACATTACCCTATAAATAAAAAGAACATAATTTATAAATAAAATAACATTACCCTATAAATAAAAGAACATAATTTATAAATAAAATAACATTACCCTATAAATAAAAGAACATAACTTATAAATAAAAAAACATTACATATAAATAAAATAAAAATCGTAGTTAGAATAATTTATTATACATTACAAACGAACATAGAGTAGATCATGTTTTTTGAAAAAGAATATAACATATACTACGTAAAATAAAGAATATTAAATATAAATAAAATAACATAACTTATAAATAAAATAACATTAATTTTCTAAAAAAATAACATTACATATAAATAAAGAACATTACATATATATAATGGAAAAATGATACTACCCAAACCCTTGGAAGAAGATGATGAACAACAATGGTAGTGCCAAATATTCAAACAATCAAGTAATTTCATGAAAATAAAGCTTCATATGAACAACAAACATCATCACAAAACACAAAATATAGGTAAAAAGAACAAACAAAGAGAGTTTAGCATTGTAGTACAACCTAGGGTTTCATATTCATGAAGTTAAACAAAGATGAACAAAGAAAAAGAAATCATACCTCAAATGAGTAGGAAACCCCTGTAAAGTAAATTAATGGTGGAAATTAAACAAATAGAACACTCAATTGCAAATTCTTTAGCTAAAATCAAAATACCAAAAATTCTCAAATCATGAAAAATCCAAAAATTTGGTTGTAAAATTCGGATTTTGGAGTGTTCAATCTAATTAAAATGTGTTTGTGAATGATGAATTATGCACATAAAAGTTATAAAAATCAAGAAATAAAATGAAAGAAGAAGTTACAAGGAGAGGAGAGAACGTATCAACAAGAGAGAGAATGAAGGGGTGAAATGAACATTACATATAAAATTAAGAACATTACATATGAATTTTCTAAAAAATAAAAGAACATTAAATTTGTCTCAATGTTCTTTTATTTATATGTAATGTACTTCCGGATCCCCCTTTACTGTACTATTTTCAAATTTATATTGTTTTTGCTTATTGGTAAAAGTAGTTAGTAAAGTATACGGAGTATTGATTTAATAGATTTTACTTCTAAATTTTCCGCAAAAATGGATTAGTAAACTATATTGATTTAATAAATTGTAATCATAAAAATCTCGTGTATTGACATGAGCATAGACTACCGTGCATCCGTGCTTATGAGACAAGAGTACTCGCGAGCTACTCGAGTGGGTTGGACTCGAAATGTTTCCCAATTCCCATTTTGGCTTGTGATTTTGTGAAGACTTCGTAGTTGACTTAAGTAGCAAAAGCACGAAAATCCACAATTCCCATGAAATGAAGCCGAAATGCAATTGAAATTCTAAAGCTATACTTTCCACTTTTCCATTTTTTTCCTCTTTCTAGTTTCTACTCTTAAAATTCATTCAACTCTCTGACTCTCTCTCAGTCTCTCTCCTCCATTGAAGCGTACTCCGAGATTTCCATTGAAGCATACTCTGAGTTTTCTCTCCTCCAATGAAGCCGAGGTAAGATGTATATTCTTCTATATAATAATCGAATATCAATTTCACAATATAGGGTTTAATTAATTGCACACTATCTTTGATTTAATTGTTCTTTGGTGGATTATTGAACTATATCCCTTTTCAATCTCCATTCAAACTTTCTTGAATTATCATTCTAACGATTTGTCACCGCTAATTTCTCAGAATATGCAATCAATTTTTTTTTTTTCTTTTTTCTTTTTTATTTTTATTAGGCCAAATTAGAAAATAACACCCAAAAAACCACTGAATTTGATAATAACAACACTAAAAAAAAAGTTTTATTATAACACCACCAAAAATCCCAAAATTTTGGTTTCACCACCCACTAATGGATTTTTGGATGGAAATCGTTAGTGGGATCCTATGGACACGTGTCAATTAGGCATTGGTTTAAAAATCAACTTTTTAAAACGAATTTAACGATGGAAATAATACCGAGTTATAAGATATTTATTAAAAGTTATGATTAATCTTGTATATATGACATATTAAAAGTATATCAATAATAAAACTATACCAAATTTTTTATTTTTTAAAATCTATTCAAAAATTTCGCTTACTTAGCATCATATGTGTCACAATAATACCTATTTGTCGCAAAAATGGAATGTCAAGTGTCGTTGTCGCGTAGCCTAGCTACGAGACCGGCTTTATTTATTAGTGATATGATATGTAGATTTGTTTTCTTGCAAATTATTTTATGCACTAGAGAGTACCTAGACTTTAAGTGAACTCTTCATGTCCAAGTGTGCATAACTCGTACTTTACATTTGTGTTTTGGACAACATTTCATGATTGATAGATAATATAGAAAATTTTGTCAAAAATCAACTTTTTAAAACGAATTTAAAGATGGATATAATACCGAGTTATAAGATATTTATTAAAAGTTATGATTAATTTTGTATATATGAAATATTAGAAGTATATCAATAATAAAACACTATACCAAATTTTTTATCTTTTAAAATCTATTCAAAAATTTCACTTACTTAGCATCATATGTGTCACAATAATACCTATTTGTCGCCTAGGTGACGTGATACTTGACGAAAAAATGAAATGTCAAGTGTCGCTGTCGCGTAGCCTAGCTACGAGACCGGCTTTATTTTTTAATGATATGATATTAGATTTGTTTTCTTGCAAATTATTTTATGCACTATAGAGTACCTAGACTTTAAGTGAACTCTTCATGTCCAAGTGTGCATAACTCGTACTTTACATTTGTGTTTTGGACAACATTTCATGATTGATAGATAATATAGAAAATTTTGTCAAAAATCACCTTTTAAAACTGAGTATTGGTCAAAACCACCTTTAAAATCTTTTTCTTCTTTTTTTTTTTTTTTTTTTCGGGAAAGAACACACCTTATTAATTAATAATAATTTTTTTTTTCAAAGACCTAGCCGTATGTCACTACTCACAACTTCCGGCATTGACTCTGCTTAAACTCTCATTTTCTCTCATTCCTTGGTTGCCACCGGAAAAGAAAATTCAATGCTAGAATCTAGCATAAGGTGCTATATATAAAAATTAAAAATAAAAATAAATAAATAAATAAGGTGGCTTCTAAAAAAAAATATTTTGACAAAATTCCAATTTAAAAAGGTGGTTTCTGACATTTTATTCAATGTATGTGATTATCGCTCTAGTCATGTTTCGACCTTTGTCCACTAAATATAATTGACTATATTAGCCTATTAGGAGCGCCAACTCTTCAAGGCATCCCCGTTTTCTCTTACAAGGAGCTAAAGACTGCTACCAGCGGCTTCAAGCCTTCAAATAAAGTTGGAGAAGGCAGCTTTGGCTCTGTCGTCTACAAGGTATGTATGTAGTACTCCGATCCGTATAATTTAAATTTTTTGACTAAGGTAGCTTAAACCATTCTCTTTGTTGGATGTTTCAAGGGATGCCTTAAAGACGGATCAATCGTTGCAGTCAAAGTACTTGAACTCGAATCATTGCAAGGAGAAAGAGAATTCATATCTGAAATCTCTGCATTATCTAACATTATACATGAAAATCTTATCACCCTTAAAGGATGCTGCGTTACTGCTACCAACAGATTTTTGATCTATGACTACATGGAAAACAACAGCATGGAACTGGCCTTCCTAGGTACTATACTAAAAGATCGAGTTCATCCGTTTGCTCTCTATATACAATTCGATATTCATTTTCTAAATTTGTGATATGATCATGGAAAATACATGCAGGAGGATCTGAAAGCAGAAGAAAGTTTAGTTGGAAAATGAGGACGGACGTTTTAATTGGAATAACGCGAGGCCTAGCCTTTCTCCACGAGGAAGTCCACCCTCATATTGTGCACCGTGACATAAAACCTGCTAACATACTTTTGGATCAGAATTTCGTACCAAAGATTGCAGATTTCGGTTTGGCAAAGCTATTTTTGGACAGTGTATCTCATGTGAGCACGCGTGTGGCAGGCACATCGTAAGTAGAATCCTCAACATACAACTACCTCCGCCATTTTGTATACGCCATTTTGTATAGGCTTGTTGCTAATATAATAACGATTTTTGTTGCAATATCAAAACTTAAAAGGGGATATCTTGCTCCAGAATATGCAATTTCTGGTCATTTGACGAGGAAATCAGATGTATATAGTTTGGGTAATTCCTTGTTTCTCCTATTGATTAACAAACTTGTTTCTCTTAGGGGCAAAAAAGTCATTTTAGGGTGTAATGCTGTCATGTGATGTATACTAGAGATTGCCAACTGTTTCCACGTGGGGTGATTTGTGGACAGATCTTAACGGAGTTATTAACGGTTAAAAATTACAGCATAAGATTACAGAAAATCGAAAAAAAAAAAAACGAAATCTGAGTTTTGCAGAAAAACGAATTCGAAGAGATAGAGAGGACTCGAACATTTTGCAGGTCGGAGATCGGAGATCGTAAAGCGGAGGAATTTCAACAATTGAAACAAAAATTGAATTTCAGCAATTTAATTTCAATTTTTGCAAACATACCAACCAATTTTTACAAAGCAGTAATTGCAATATTTACGCAAGAATCAATACAAACAGAAGAATCACCTAAATCACAAGAAACAACTTAAACCACATGACTATATCATAAATTTAAGTTCAATTACTAAAAAAAAAAAACTCCTTTCGCAACTCACACATGATTACAACCCACAACAAAGAACCTTAGACTAGATAAACGAGGGTAATGAAACAAATTGACTAACCTCTACTTCAATTCACCGATGATTAAATACGAAAATCTCCTCAAACCAGGAGCAAAGCCAGATCTGGAATCACCTTGGATAGAGAGAAGTAGGAATTGTGTATTTCCTGGGTTTACTCCCAGAAGCAATCGTTTGTTTAACTTTTAACGCCATCACAAATACTTAGCAAAAATTGCCAACTAAGCATCCAAAATGCCACTAAAGCATGTCCCCACGTTTGTCCACTCAGCAACCAAAGATGCAAATAATCTCCAAAATGCCACTAGAGAAACAAAGAACGTTACTCATGAAGAGTAACTGGGGTGCGCTCATATAGTTTTGGGATAGCATATTGTTAGCGGACACAAAGCCGTGGACTGCAACTTAGAGCAAAAAGATGCATACCTAGTTACCAAGGTAATGTATTATTAGTTGTATTACAATTATTTTACATTCCATCCAATAACTCGAGATAATAAATCATATTAGCACTTTCATATTCATGAATTCATGTATTAGGTATGGAAGGCTTACAAATCTAATAACCTTCAACAGCTGGTGGATCCCTCACTTGACGGAGATTACCCCGAAGAAGAACCTATCGAACTTCTTAAGGTGGGCTTGCTTTGTGTGCAAGAGATAGCCGATCTTCGGCCTCAAATGTCAGAAGTTGTGAAGATGCTAGGAGATGGTAAAAGTAGGGATGTTTCAATATCCAAACTTGGGCATCTTCTTGATCTCATGTACTATAAGATACGGGATGATCATTCCCAAGATAATGTTGGATAATATTCCTCCTTATTATTAGAGTTTGCTAAAAACAAATAAAGGAGAATTTACAAGAAAGAAGAGAAAAAGAATGAGAGGAATAAAAGGAGAGAAAAAGAAGGAGAGTAGTAGCAAAATAAGAAATAATCAATGGCAAATTATATAACGATAATTTGCATCATTAGTTATTTAGATATAGGCTGATTATGAATATGTAATCAGATTATTTGTTAATTGTAAATTGAGATAGAATTTGTATCACATTATTTTTGATAAATAGAAACACAATTTAAATTTGAGAGTATACCATCGAATATTAGTTTATAGTTTATAAATACTTTGTGAGTTAATCTATTATGTTATAGAGATATAATTGTTACCTATTTTGTTTATAAATAAAGGGAAAGTAAATATTATTTCCGCTGTAAGATTATTTGTGATATTTCCCAACAGTCTGGTATCAGAGCCGGTTACATATATACACGTTGTATAAAACAAAATGGAAGATTCGATGGTAAGCTTATCAGGAATGATTAAATTGACGTCGTCCAGCTATTCCATGTGGAAGTCTCGAATGGAGGATATCCTTTATTGCAAGGATTGTATAAACCCATCGAGGAAGAAAATAAACCGGAAAGTAAAACCGAAGATGTATGGAAATCGGAGAATCGAAAGGCAGTCGAGCTGATACGACAACATATTGATCAAAATATTTTTCAACATGTTGCTAATGATACCAATGCCTACAAGCTTTGGAAAAAGCTTGAGTCAATGTATGAGAGGAAGACATCTTTAAATAAAGCTACATTGGTAAGAAGGTTGGTTCGTCTTCTATACAAAGAAGGTAAAAATATGGCATAACACATAAATGAATTTCAAGGCATTGTTAATCAGCTAACAAATGTTAGCATGACAATTAAAGATGAAGTCCAAGCCTTATTACTCCTTAGCTCATTACCCGATAGCTGGGAAACTCTTGTTATCTCGTTGAGCAATTCGGCTCAGAATGGTAAAATCACCCTTGACATGGTGAAAGATAGCTTGTTCAATGAAGAAGCTAGAAGGAAATTAAAGAATTTGCCTCCACAAATAATCAAACTGAAGCACACATTGTTGAAAGTCGAGGGAGATCGATGTTTAGAGGCTCCCAAAGTCAAGATAAATCGAGAGGCAGATCAAAATCTAAGAAGGGGTTCGCTTGCTTTTATTGTCACAAGGCAGGACATAACCAAAGTGAATGTCGAATATGGAAGAGCGACATGAAATCAAAGAATGACAAGAGTAGTGATAATGAAGACAAGAAAAATGTCACGGCTACAGCAGTTGGTGACGAAGTTTATTTTGCAGGTAATGACTCATGTTATAACCTTACAAATGAAGATTGTAGCTGGGTGATTGATACAGGTGCTTCATATCATCTAACTGCAAACAAAGATTACTTCACATCGTACATTAGCGGCGATCTTGGCTTTGTGAGGATGGGAAATAATGGATCCTCCAAAATAATTGGTATTGGAGATGTTTGCTTGGAAACCAATGCAGGATGCAAGCTAACTTTACATGATGTTAGACATGTTCCAGATATAAGGCTGAATTTGATCTCAGCTGGAAAACTTGACGATGAAGGGTATGCGAATCACTTTTCTAATGGAAAGTGGAAGTTGTTGAGAGGCTCGATAATCATTGCTCATGGAAAGAAGCAACAAAACCTTTATGTCACAAATGGGAAGCTCAACACACAATTGAATGTAGCCGAAGAATGTTCTACCGAGTTATAGCATAAGCGGCTCAGGCATATGAGTGAGAAGGGATTGCAAATCCTCACTCGAAAGAAACTTCTTCCATTAAAGGATGTTCATTTGAAATCTTGTGTTGATTGTTTAGCTCAACACAGAGTTTCATTTCGAAGAAATCCACCATCTAGAAGACCACGTATTCTAGATTTGATTCACACGGATATATGTTCTATGACAGATGGCGTTATCTTTGGACTAAATCCCCTCATCTGAATTTCATCTTTTATGCGCGCCCTTTTGAGGATGACGCTGCCGATTATCTTTATACTGCGACTTCTCAACATGATCATGATAGAAGTCAATTCGAGAACGAGGACGAGGATTCCACCGCATCCAATGAGATTTATGAGGAGGAAGAAGAGGATGATGAGGAAGTGGAAGAATAAGGGGAGGAGTTCGAGTACGAGGATGAGAAAAGGAAACTGATTCGTGGCTATGTTGATTTGGTAAGAGGCCAATCGAGTAAAATCATAAGCTTCAAATTAGGAATCGACTATTCTCAAGAAATCAAAGCCATGGTGTCGAGATGGGTTCGTTACCTGGTCATGAGAAACGTTGAGAAACTTCACCTTTTGTTTCACGGAAAATCCAAAGTGGGTTTTCCATCAGGTAGTTGTGATCATAATAACGAATGTTTTCCTTGTGAACTCTACATGTTACCGCAACGTCTCTACGCCGAAAACAATTCCTTTGTTGACATGCAATTTAATACAAATTTTAACTTTGTTCTTGAGAATCATGAATATCATCCAACTATTCGTATTATCATGAATATCACTTCCGCTCTCGATAATCCGTAATAACGTAGGACTTTTACGGCATCTAAGATACCAATTTGACCATAAACATATCTTGAGTCATGTATTACCAGCAAAAAGGAGACTATTTTGTATCCGATCCCGAACTTAGGAGTCGGTCAATCAAAGTACATCTAAATTTAAGATGAATTTAATGTAGCCCTCTTCACGAGGGGAATTTCTAATATAGCTGATAGAACAATGTATACTACAAGAGGGGGGTGAATTGTAGAGTATGTAGACTATGGTAAATTTTGCGGAGTTAAATCTACTACTAAGAGAAAAGACACAGGAGATAGGCAATGAATACTTTCACTATGTAAAAAGAATTACACGCACTAATATTCTGCCTAGACCTAAGTTCCGTGAGGAACTCAAGTTACCCAAACTACGATCCCTCAATCGTAGCTTCTCTCTTTGTGATTCGACTCTGAATCACTTGTATAGTATGAGGTACTCTCTCAAGACTCACACTTTACAACTCTCACAACCCAAACCCAATTACACAATGATTACAAGTATTTCTTAAAGAACTTAAGAGACTAAGGGTGGAAGGAACTTCTCTTTTAAACACTTTGAAACTCTATGCTCAGAGTACTTAAAATTGTTTTTCCACTCTTTCAAAACTTAACGTTGATCTGTTTTTATAAGGAGTTAAACCAAGCTTCCATCAAGTTCTCACTTCCCCCTTAATCCCACGTTCTCTTTAACTGAGAAGTTGGGATGTAGGCTGAGGAAATTTAGGAACATGATTTCCCTAGCTTGACTCCTAAATCAACGTGCTTCCTTAATTTAAGTAAACAGTTATTTTTACTAAGTCAAAAATAAGTTAAGGATTTAAAAAGATAATTATTTATTAATTAAAAAAGATAATTGTTTATTAATTAAAAGATAACTAAATAATTAATTAATTTAAAAACTTATCTTTTAAATTAATGAATTATTTTGATTTTATTTATTTATAAAATAAATCTTTTTCAAAACTGATTTTATCTTTTCCTTAAATTAAGGGATATGAAAACTGTTTTTGAAAACCATCGTTTAAACACTTTTCTGAGCATCAGTCAAGTTCCTTCAAGAATTCCAGATTCCATCAGGAACTTTGAGTTTCTCATGAGTTCCTTCCAACACTTTTGTTTCTTAAGTTCATGCACTGAATAACTAAGTATACTAGAGTTGTGAGGACATCTTGAAAGCTTGCATTCATCATCAAGTCTTCCAAACTCTGTTGTTCCTACTCCGGAACATATATTCGTATACCTGAATCTTTCTGTTCAACCAAGACTTATAAACATCATTAGTCAGAGTTTGTTTTACGTAAGTCAATCATTAAAATATTAAGGTGGTCAATTCAACAATATTCCCCCTTTTTTATGATGACAAACTAAAACAAACTCGGGTAAACAAAAATAATCATCCAGGCAATCAGAGTAACCAATAACTAAGTGAAACAATAAAATTATTAAAGCAATAAAACAAACTAAGTTTAAAGAAGTCTGCATCATTCATGAAAATAATAAATTGTGAAATTTATACCTTTACTTAAATGATGAAGACTTGAAGGGAATCGGTTTGAGTCCGGCTTTTTGAGTTTGTTCTTCTCTTCCCCCTTTTGACATTATCAAAATGATAGAGAGAGCATGCTATATATAGTACTAAACTACGGAGGGATTAGTAAATCTGAATTCATGAACGATTAAGCATGCGCACACAGTTCATATGCAACCAAAATTAAAACATCAAATTCAAAGACAAACTTAGCCAGTTTAATACAAACCGAAATAAAAACAAAATAAAGTGTTCAAAACAAACCAAACAAAATAAAATTGAAGGACAATATCACTGTTTAATAAATCACAAGAAAAAGTGGGGTAGGTTTGTTTTGCAAAGGGCTAGGAAATGGTAGCAGCTTCATGGTAAGGTAATATCCTTGATCGCATCAAGAATGGTCTTGTAACAACTTTGCTTCACTTTAGCTTTGAATTCCTGAGCCGAGGAGTCCATATGAGCATTTACTTTATCTTCCAGAGAAAGCATCTGAGTTTGCAGCCCCTCAACTTTAGTAGCCAGGTTATCCACTTTAGAAGAAAGGGTAGTTATACTCTGTGTAAGTGTAGTGGACAAAAGCTTAAGTTCCTCCTGAATTTGCAAGGAACTTGGACTAGAGCTAAAAGCACCGAAGCCGAGACCAGAAGTACGAGGCTGTGAAGCAGGTGGAGAAGGTGTGGTTTGGTGAGCAGGGGATGGAATTGGAGGTGGTGATGGAGTTTCTTCTGGAACAGATGAGGAGGGACCCTAAGGAACTTGGGTGGAAGTTCCTTCAGAAACTTGGGTGGAAGTTCCTTCAGAAACTTTGGTTGAAACATCATCCAACTCAACAATAACAGTCTCAGATTGCAGGGTTCTGGGTTTAGATGTAGCAAGTCTGATACTTCTCCTTCTTCTGCCTGTTACAGGGGCAGTGTGTTTGACAGAGCCCCCAATTTCCTTAAGAAACTCTTTCATTAATTCCTCTTGATCATCCTCTTCCTCCTTCTCACTCTCACTCTCTTTTTCTATTGTGTCTGTCTCTTTTTCTTTTTCTCCTGCTTCCTCTTTTTCACTCTCTGTTTCCTCTTCTTTCTCACTCTCTTGTTCTTTTGCTTCTCCCTCTCCTTCTTTTTCTATCTTTTTCTCACTGTTTTC